AAGACAACACTCACACCAAAGAACCTTCAGCAAACGTCGAAGACTGAAACTGAAGATTAGATACCGGCGAGTACGTGATCTGAAGCGGTACTCAGTGATTACAAGTCTGTCTACATATGTGTGAAGACTGCTTAGCTTCAGCGAATGATGATGAGACCTTCAGGTCATTCCAGCATTCAGCAATGAAAGGGAGCTTGTTAGCACGATTGTTGTTGTCTTGTCCTTATGCACACAAAGGACAAAACCCATACCCTTATGAAAGTTAGTACGGTACGGAGCCGACTAGTCGACTCTTTGTCCACCAACGTTAAGTAAGGATGTCTACTCATGAATAGTGTTTTTTGTACTATTCACTATAGCAAAGGACAAGCCTTCCTCTTAAGGCTTGACACTCACTCTAACCCTACCATATTGCATTAAATGTTCATTTAATGCACCGGGTATAAATAGAAGTGTTTTTTCTCCATGCAGAGTGCGCGCAACTAACTCTCTAACTCTAATTCTTACTTCAAGCATTTTCTATCTTAAGTAAAGGATCTTCTTTACAGCAATTTCTTTTCTTGTATTTGCTAAGACTTTGTGTGTAACCAAAGATTGTTTAGATAGGTTTTTATTATCTTATCTTTCCGCAAACAATCTTGTAAAATCTGTATTAATCTTCTCTATCAATATATATTTTAAATTTGAACATATTGTGTTTGTATTCATCCCCCCCTTCTACAAACTGTTTCTCTTCTTGTAGACCCTCACGGGACCAACAAGTGTTATCAGAGCAGTGTTTTCTTTTTTTCCTTGTGTTTAGCTATTTTCTGTATTAGTTTATCTCCTTTCTTAGATAACTTTACTGCTTACAAATGACTTTACAAATTGCAAAAACACACACAAAAGATAATGGCTCTCTTGCAAACCTCTCCGGTTTGTCCGTAATAACTTTAGTCTCTGTAAGAACCGGATGTCCCTCTTTCTGGAAGGTGTGGATCCTGAAATTCTACATTACATAAAAAATGGACCATATATTCCATTTGCTATTGTTCCAGCTGTTCCAGCAACAGCTATGACTGCCGTGATTCCTGAATGCCAGATTCCAAAGCTCCCACATTAGTGGAGCGATGAGGACAAGAAGAAGATAGCTATAGAGATGTGTGCTCGGTCTGTAATAGCTATGTCTCTTCCTGATGAGATTTATCACTTAGTGATGAAACTCAAAACCTCTAAATCCATGTGGGATAGACTCTGTGTCCAATATGAAGGAACCACTCAGGTTCAGGAGACTAGAAAGATCAATCTAGTAAGACAGTATGAAAGCTTTCTCTGTGGAAAGTCTGAGACGCTGTCTGAAGTACATCAGAGATTTAACTGCCTTCTTATTGATCTTAGGGCTGTCGGCAGAAAATATTCTAATTCTAAAACTTTGACTATGTTTCTAGAATGTCTTCCTGAGTCTTGAGACACCTTTTCCATGTGTCTCAAAATGTCAAATGATATGTCCACTCTTTCTCTTTCTACTTTATACGAGATTCTGCTTAACCATGAGCAATCTCGTCAACTGAAAACGAATCTTGTAAAAGAATCCAGGGAAATGAAAAGCTCTCTTTTAGCTTTGATCTCTGAAGTTTCTTCAGTTGAAACTCCTTCTACCCCTTTTGTTTCCTCTCTTCCTCCCGTGGTCATCACAGAGATAGATTCTTCCGTGGATATTCTAGAATCTGATTTAACAGATTTTGATGAGTCCCTGGCACTCCTGACTAAGTCATTTAGGAGATTCGCCAGTAAGAGCAACTTCCGCATATCTCCTCAGGGAGAAGCCAGAGTCTGAAAGAATAGACAAGGCTTCAGCTGTCTGCTATAACTGTCACCGGCCCGGACATTTTGCAGGTGAATGCAGATCAAAGAAGACTGCAACGCCATCTTCTAAAGCTCCTTCCTCCTTAAGGACCAAGGATGAAAAGTACTTAAAACTGAAGGAGAAGTATAAGAAGATGAAGAACAACCAGCAAAAGGCTAAAAGCCTTATTGCTGAAGAGCATGACTGGGCTGAATCATCCGATGAATCATCTTCAGATGAAGAGGATAAAGCCTACATCTGCTTGATATCCATAGATGCTGATGAAGGATCTTCTGATGTGTCTACCTTCTTTGAGCCATCTTCTTCTTCTACTCAGGATATCAAAGGCATATGGTATTTGGACAGTGGTTGTTCAAGACATATGGTATTTGGACAGTGGTTGTTCAAGACATATGACTACTTAGTAGAAGGAACACAAAAGAAAGTGACGCAAGAGGTCATTAAGGACTTTTAAAGAGGCTATGACTTCAAGGGATGCTCCACTATGGAAAGAAGTAATAAATGATGAAATGGATTTTATCATGAGTAATGGTACTTGGGAATCGTCTGATTTACCCAAGGGAGCAAAACCCATAGGTTTTAAATGGGTATTCAAAAGGAAGCTACATCCGGATTGGTAGCTAAAGGGTATAGACAAAGAGAGGGAGTCGATTATTTCGAAGGTATCCTTAAAACTAAAGGCTACTTATCCTCGAACTTTAAGATGAAAGATCTTGGAGAAGTAGATACCATCCTTGGGATAAAAGTCAGAAAGTCAGCATCTCAAATCTCTCTAAGTCAATCCACTACATAGAGAAGATACTGACCAAGTTTCAACATTTGAATATAAAGGAGTTTAACACTCCATTTTATTCAAGTGTGAAACACGATAAAAACACTAGTAGAGCAGTGGCTCAAGTAGAGTATGCTAGTGCAATAGGAGGCATGATGTATGCGATACATTGCATTAAAACAGATATTGCTTTCGCAATGAGTAGACTGAGTCAATATATTAGCAATCCCGGTCTAAATCACTGGAAAGCTATCAGTAGAGTATTGGTTACTTGAAGAGAACCAATGATCTAGAGTTAATATAAATGACACATCCAGGAATCTTAGAAGGGTATTCTGACGCCAGTTGGATAGATCACTCTAGTGATTCTAAATCCACAAGTAGGTGAATTTATACCCTTGCTGGTGGGGCATTTTCTTGGGGGAGCAAGAAACAATCGTGTATAGCCCATTCGACAATGGAAGTCGAACTTATTGCCCTTGCTGCAGCGGGCAAAGAGGCCGAATGGATCAGAGATCTATTAACAGATATCCATTTTTGGCCTCGACCAACTCCTTCTATTCCCATGTATTTGTGACAGTGAGGCCAAACACTGTAAAAAGTATACAATGTTGTGTATAATGGGAAGTCGCGACATATAGGTCTCCGACACAATTTCGTGAGACAATTAATTGATGATGGTACCATAAGTATTGTATATGTCAAGTCTTGTGGAAACTTTGCAGATCCGCTAACCAAGCCTCTGACGAGAGACTTAGTAGGATCAACTACCCGAGAGATGGGTCTGAAACCACGTAGAATCAATTAGTGATGGAAACCTAACTTGAATTTAGTGCTCCTATCTATCAAGTTTAAAGGGTAACAACAAGTCACTAACAGATAGAAGGTACTATCGACTGATAGATCCATGTAAGGTACATGATAGTACGGTGTTGCAGAGAATAAGGATGAGTTAATATCTTAACAAATTTTAGAGGCATCTTAGCAACAAATATGTTATGGAACTTTGCCTATATGACTAAGAGGTGGTGCCAACTCAAAAGGAGAGTAGTGGTTCCTCTCCTAAAAGGTCGTGAAACAGGGTTTAACGCATGGCCATATTCACGCTCAGTGAGAAAGCAAGGATGTTAGATTATGTGTGTAAGTGAGTCGGAGAGATCACAACATTCAAGGTTTAAATCCTAAGGATATCAATGAATTTATCTCTCCTTGCATACTTGCATAAAACAGGGTTTAATCTTAGTGATACCACTGTGACATTGTCTAATGTGAATATCATAAAACTTTCCAACCTGGTGGGGATTGTTGGACATTATATGTGAGGTTGGAAGTTTTCCTCCATCACACATTGGTAGATAAAGAAATTTTAGAGAGTATCTTTTTGGTATGTCATCGAGAGAGATGGGAAATCAGATTTTGACCAAGTTTGGAGATAAACATTGTTTTTAGATAATTTGATCAAGTTTGGAGATAAACATTGTTTTGGATAATTTGATCAAGTTTGGAGATAAACATTGTTTTCGGAAAATTTGACCAAGTTTGGAGATAAACATTGTTAGAGGATAATCCTCCAACTAAACTCGATCCTCCAATTTTTTGGGGGACGATAACGTTTATCCTCAAGATTTTACCAGTATAAATACTGGGTAGAAACCATCCCTAAAGCATCACTTGAGAAATCGATTTCCTCTCTCTCGATTTTCCGCTCCTAACCGTTCTTTCTCTCTACCGAATTTCTGCATCCATCTTCCTTTAATATTCGGTTTTTGATCGTTCTTGGAAAAATGAAAACGTGTACTGCGTCAAATCCTAGGGCTTTGTGACTTGCAGACTCACAGCGTCAAAAGAGTAGTCGTATAAAACCTTTAAGCATAGGTTTCGTACCGTGCAGTCTTCTACCATTACGTACTGTTAAAATGGTTAATATAGCAACCAAAGATTTACTTTATTGAATCAACAAGATTATAACCACATATTACAATACAAAAACAAAACAAAAGTTAGATCTAAAACATAAAACAACAAAGAAATTTTAAATAGCAACTAAAGAAGATCTAAAATAACGTAAATCTAAAGAGAATTTAGAAGAATCTTTAGAGAGACAGAATAGAGCTAATTCTAAGCTTTGAAAGTTGAAAAATGAGACAATGCGGTGAGATGATGAAGGGTCATTTATATATGTTTCAGATTTGACACAAATAGCCCTTGAAGTTAACAGGACCAGCTCCGCTACCCTTATAGTTTTGATAAATGTGAGGCGCGCCCCCTTCACATGTATGTAACACCCCGTACCATACATTGCATGTAACACATATTTCATACAGGAAATACATGTTTATACATCATTCAGGTCCCTAAATACAACAATTTACCAGTATGAAGTACATGGTCCCAAAATTCAAAATACAAATTCTTGTACTAATCAAAGTTCATCTATCAAAACTATACATATCATCATCCAATCCTCATGCAGGTAAACATATAGGGAAATTATCACATTTTCCCTTTCCCCTTACCTTCAGCATTTCCTGCAATACATATTTAAAATCACAAAACGAGGGTTAGACCGAAAGGTCTAGTGAGTTACCCTATTTATGTTATTGCAGGGTGTAAATCACCAAAACTTTGTATAAAATAACTTTTCATATATATAACAAATATATGAACAAATAAGGACATATTACCGGTACCTTTCCACTTTTCAAGCCAAGCATTCAGCTATTCATATAACATACTTTAAACCTTTATGTCCGATTTAAAATAAACAGGCCACCTTATAGTCGTATTTCTACTTCTCCGTTAAAAATACTTTAACATATAATCAAAGTTCATAAATCGCCCAATATTTAAATCAGTTAAGATATGTTCAGTTTAATGTCTAAACCGCTTGACCCTTGTCCGGTTAAAAGCTAAGCCGCTTAACTCTCATCCGGTTTAAGGCTACATCGCTCATGCTTTAGGCGGTTTAGCCCTAAACCGCTTAAGCCTTGTTCGATTTAAATCTTAAATCTCTCACCCTTCATCCGATTTAATGTATAAATTACTCAACAAATAATCGGATTAAACTTAAAAATAGGTATAAAACTTTTAAAACATAATTTCAATATGTAACTAAAAATGGTTCAAAGCACTCACCTTTTGAAGTGTGACATCCATCAGTTTTGGAGCATCAAGTTAGCATCTTTGTAGGATTTCTATATTTAGAAATATATTTTATTAGGGTCAAGTCATGTAGATTAGAACTCGTCCGACTTAGATTCTCGATGTTTAGTTCAGAAGATTATGTTTTAACAGGTAGCGGATAAAGTTAACTTATGTAATGCCAAAAACATTAAAAATTCCCCAAGCGTAATAAAGTTGGTATTTTAAAAACCCAAATTAAAATATAAAAGTCCAATTTACACAAATTTTACAAGATTAGGAAATTTGGCCTAATACTCATTCTTTTATCACAATTTTTAACTTTTTTTTTTATCTCACATTTCAAAGAATCTTTGTGTGTAAAGTATATATATATATATATATATATATATATATATATAATAATAATAATAAAATAATATATAATGATTAAAGTGTGTGGGCTTAGGCTTACTAGCCATATGAGGCCCCACTCCTAGCCCACCTATAAAACAAGGTGACTCTTTGGTTTCCACCCACTTTTTACTCATTTCCCATGCAAACCATCTAGAACCGCTCAAAGCAATCCTTCTTCTCCTTTCCAAAATCATTTCAACCAAAAAAATTTACCTTCAATCTTTTTGAAGAACATCGAAAGGATCAAAGTGCTATCAACGAAGGTAAAGGGTTAAATACATTGTTTTAGTATTTTAAACTATGTTGTTCATCTTTTCTGCACATTTACATCTTCTTTTGAACTCAAATTCCGGAGTATCTAAGATGGGAGATTATACACCAAAGACATGAAAATGTCTTCAAAAAGGGTAATAATCTATGATCTATAGGCTTAGAACTCAAGAAAAGGGGGTAAAACCACATTGCATGTTGATTTTGACCATAAAAAGGAACATTTTGAGCTGTCAGATTCTTACTAAAGCTCGTGTCGTCCATATCTCCCAAAATAAAAGCCCAAATGTTATGATTTTTCTTTTAAAAATATATTTCGTTGAGTTGAGGTTCTTTCCTAACTAGAATCATGCAAAAATGTGGAGTTTTGACCTCTCAAACACTTAGAACAAAATAAGTGTGCAAACAGTAGGTCCAACAGTAGGTGAACCTTACTTTGAACACTCATAACTCTTCGATAATCTTTCCAAAACATTCGATTTTTCTTCTGGAGTTTACTTTTTTGAGTTGTTTTTTATGTTTTTGGTTTCACTCAAAAACATTGAGTCTTGAGCACTTAAATTCTTGATACAAGTTTATGGTGCAAAAAGATGATTTCGGGCAGAACCTTGCATGTATGTTCAAAGTGGCATAACTCTTTCAAAAATCAATAAAAATGTGAAATTCTTCTTCTGAAAGTTTTGCTTATGAGTTAAGTTTACAATCCAAGTGGAATCATTGGAAAACTCTAAGTTTAGATCTTCCATTTGACCACAAGTTTGACAGGGTGCAATCTATCTAGGCTGTTTTGAGGTGTAAAAATGTGTTGGACTATTTTAAGAACAAATTATATAAATATCAACTTTAATCCATAAAAACATGTTGGCATTACATAGAATATAAATTGACTTTATCCTTATCGGGAGCCGATAGGTGATCTAACCATGAAATTTTGGACATTATAGGAAAGTTTAGGCTGGACGTCTAATGCCTCAACACCCTCCAGATCTGGTTATTCTCTAGCAAACAGGTGAGTATTCACGGCCCCACTTTTACTGCTTTCATTTATTTAAACTGGGGGAAAAGCATGAAGATATGGAAATTATGTTGTTTTGTTTTAAACTGTTGAAGTCATGAAAAATTGACTGTTATTGCACATTGGTGTAAATGATAAATGGATGTACTTGAGTGATAATGTAAAAAGTCCCCTTCCGTAAACGCTACTAGTTAACTCGGGCACGTCCCCGGGCCGTGGTAATTGTGGATAGCCGTTATTGTGTTGACAGTCCCACCCAAAAACGGGTGCACACTATCTATGTTTAATAGTCTACTCATGTGTGCGAACGGGCCTCCGCTGAAGTAGTACTGATACGAACCGTGATACCTAAGTGAGCATGCGGGCCACTTTATGGTAGTTCGTAAAATAATGGGGCACATTGGTCAGGTAAGGCTCAGTAGCATCTCAAGTTTTAAGCACCGTTAAAAAATTTACATTTATCATGTGCAAAAATTTATGTATTAGTTTGCAAGAATTGATTTATGCATTGTAAATATTTTGTGCATATGAAAACCCGTGGACTCACCAACTCTTTGTAGTTGACGTCAGTTTTATGTTTCATACTTTTCAGGAAATTAAGTAAGAACTGTCGTCATGGATGCATTTTTGCGATAACACCTGTTCACGCGTTTTAGAAACCTCTTTCTACAAATGATGCTGTTTTCATCGAGAGTAGTTGGGTTATGGATTTGTAAACTTTTGGATTATGAACTTTAATGGTGTTATCTATTAATTGGTGCTATGAAACACTTACCTGTTGCACCTCGTGTTTCCGCTTTAGCGGGGTATGACATGAAAACTCTTTTAAAATCAATTTGAATTCAGACAAATTTTGAACAATCCGATCAACCTTACTCTCTTTAAATCGCTTACAAAACTTCACAAAATGGCCAGAGAGTAAAATGGGAGATCTCAACTTCTTTTATACCTTTCCCAATCAGGGAAGGCGGCTAAACAGCCCATGCACCCATATATCATGCATGTATTTAGAAATTTACACATGCCTTACATACATACATACATACATACATACATGTATAATCATGCATACACATAATTAATTCCATATAAGCATATTCTCACACACACACACACATATATATATATATATATATATACATTTTACATTAAACACATATGCCCATATAATTGATGCATACCTATTTATGCATATCATTTCGCGTACTAGCATAATCAATTATATCAATTTATCATGCTAACACAAAATTATTTAACAAATAATCACATATTTATTACCTTAGTTGATAACCAGGATCCAGTTATCACAATGTATCCACCATATTCTTTAAGCAATCTACAAAATCTACCCTAACCTGTCAAACAATTATCAAAACAAGTCCAACAGTTCAAGTTAGTCAAGATTGGATGGATAAACAACATTTTCAACACCCGCCCTCAATCTTGACCCTTGAACAAGTCACTCATTTTGAGATTTGAGCACAAGTAATTATGGTGGTTAACACTAAGGGCTTTGGTGAGAATATCAGCAGTCTACTCCGAAGAATAAATTTTTACTATTTTTAGAATTCCTCTATTAATTTTTTCACGAATGAAGTGTATATCAATTTCAATATGCTTTGTTCTCTCATGAAAAACTGGATTATTTGCAATTTGTATAGCGGATTTATTATCATAGAATAAACTAAATGGAAAAAGATTTTTAATGTCAAGATCAGAAAGAATTTTTAATACCCAAATAATCTCACAGGAAACAGATGTCATAGCTCTATATTCAGACTCTGTGGATGAACGAGAAACAGTATTATGTTTCTTACTTTTCCATGAAACCATAGAGTTTCCAAGAAACAAACAGTAACCAGTTACAGACCTTCTTGTGGAGAGACACCCCAATCTGCATCTACAAAGGCATTCAAAGAAAAACTTCCAGACCTTGTAAAACTGACTCCCCTTATAGGAGAAAGCTTGAGATACCTAAGAATTCTTAAAGCAAGATTTAAGTATGACTGTTTTGGAGCATGCATAAACTGACTCAAACAATCTACAGCAAAAGCTATATCAGGTCTGGTGGCTAAAAGATAGATTAATCTACCAATTAACCTTTATTATCCAGAACAATCATGTAACAAAGAATCTTTAGAATTACTAGAATAAAAAATAACTAAATTCATTTCCATAGGAGTACTTATAGGTTTACATCCTAGATAACCAAAATCATTTAATAATTCTAGACAATACTTTCTCTAAGACATACATACTCCATGTATACAATCAAGAATTTCGATTCCCAAAAAGAATTTTAGTTTTCCCAAATCTGTAATCAAGAACTTACCTTTTAGAAATTCTTTAAATTTATTTATTTCATTCAAGCTATTTCCTGTGATAATAATATCATCTACATATACAAGAAGCACAAGAAATATAGAGTCAATTCTTTTAGTGAACAATGAGTAATCACTAATGCTTTGAACAAAACCATTCTCGGTTAAGCAGGATGACAATTTTACATAGCACTGACGTGGTGCCTGTTTTAAACCATATAAAGACTTGACTAATTTGCAAACACGTTTATCATTTGAATTGTAATATCCTTCAGGAAATGTCATATACACATCCTCAATCAAATCACCATACAAAAAAGCATTATTGACATCCAACTGATATAAGGGCCAATTAAACTGAACAACTAAGGCAATGACACACCTTATAGTGACCATCTTAACAACAGGGGAGAAAGTCTCTTCATAGTCGAGACCCTCTCTTTGACTATAGCCCTTAGCAACTAATCTAGCCTTATATCGCTCAATTTCTCCGGTGGATTTATATTTTATTTTGTAGACCCACTTACATCCTATAGCTTTTCTGTTTTTAGGTAATTCGGTAACGAACCAGGTTCCATTCCTATATAGGGCCTCCATCTCATCATTCATAGCCTTAACCCAATTTTGATCACTACAGTTCTCCTTAAAAGTTTTAGGTTCCACAGATTTATTTAAACTAGAAACAGAACACAAATTTTTAGAAGACAAGCAGGAATAGTTTACCATTCTTTCTATACCATTTTCACTCTTCCTTCAACAATAAAATCATCAAATTTGTGCGGAAAATTGGAAGGCCTAGAAGATCTCCTAATGGATTGAGTTTGGGGCTGAATTCCCTCAGAGATACTACCCAAAAAAGCAACATTGGTATCATTTATGACACCTTCAAAATGTGAGACAGCGTCACTTGGGAAACTGGCAATAGTTTCAGGGCTACCCAAGGGCGACCAACTGGTAACTCTATCAAGATCATTAATGTGACTAGGACCTTGATTACTTTGACATATTGAGCTGCCTAGAGGCTGCCCATTGTTAGCTCCAGAAGAGCTACTTAGTTCCCTACGGTCACTGTCTCCAAGACTAGACTGATCATTGCTAATGTTAATAATGGGTCTCCAAGTCTCATCATTGGGAGCCAAATCATCAAAATCATTAGTACTTCTAGTCATAGTATCAAAAAAGTTAAGATTATTGAGACCATCAATATCAGCTTTATTATCTCTATTCATACTCATCTTGAAGGGAAAAACATTTTCATAGAACTTAACATCTTTGGAAAAAATAATTCTTTTGGTATCAAGACTATATAGTCTATACCCTTTTTAGAATTTGCATAACCCAACATAACACATTTTTTCAGATTTAGAAGAGAACTTGTCCAAAACATTGGGTATATGCGTAAAACAAAGACAACCAAAACTTCTAAGATGAGAAAGAACAGGCTGGAAGCCATAAACAAGATCATATGGACTCTTACCATTTAAGACAGATGTAGGAATCCTATTTATAAAGTATGTAGCAGTTAAAACACATTCATTCCACATATTAAGCGAGACTCCACCCTGAAACATGAGAGCCCGAGCAACATTTAGTAAATGTCTATGTTTTCTTTCAACAACCCCATTCTGTTGGGGTGTATAAACACAAGATGTTTGATGAATTATTCCTTTAGTTTCAAAAAAATCACTTAGCTTGTGATTGGTAAACTCAGTATCGTTATCACTTCTAAATGTTTTAACAATTTTTCCAAATTGATTTAAAAGAAGATTATAAAAGTTTTCTATATATTCACCAACTTCGTGCTTTCCCTTTAACAAGTAAACCCACACAGCCCGAGAAAAATCATCAACAATGGTTAAAAAATATTTATGACCTTCCCGGCTTTGGACATGGTAAAGACCCCACATATCTAGATGAATAAGTTCACCTAGACAAGTGGTTTTGTGAGTGCTGGAACTAAATTTTTCACGGGTTTGTTTCGCCTTATGACAGACTTCACAAGGACCACAACTCTCACAATTAATATTAAGTCTTTCTTTTAGCACTAACAGAACATGATCAGCTGGGTGACCAAGACGGTTATGCCATAAAAGGGTGGACACAAAACAAACAGAATCACAATTAATAGGAGAGAATGAAGGATTACTGTTATAAAAAAAATAGAGACCACTGTTCTGACTACCAGTCCCCGTAAGACTCTTGTGAAGATAATCCTGAACATAGCATTTGGATTCATCAAATTTAATAGACACCTTATTATCCCTAGCCAACTTAAGATTTGGAGACATACCTGCCATGTTGGCAGTGGCTCCCTCATTGGCAGATTTTTGTTCAATTAGACTCAATATTTTCGATACCTGTTCTTCAGAAAAAGCAAATGAAGGCTTAGGAACAGACTCAGAAGTAGAAGTATTGGCAGTGGCGGGTTTAAAATTGGGATTTTGAGGCCTGAAATTTTGATTTTGATTTGGAAATCTAGCACGATTTTGAAAATCCTTGGGGAACCCTATTAGTTTGAAACAACGATCAATGGTGTGCCCAATAGTACCACAATATTTGCAGACAAAATTTGTGGGGTTTCTTCCTATTTTCCTTTTGTTATCAAAAGTTTTGCTTAAAAAAACATAATTTTGTGATTTAGAACAATTTTGTTTGGACTTGCTCCTCTATGAGATTCCTCTCTCGAAACGAGAGAAAAAGTGGTTTTAACAGATGGGAGAGGATCTCTAGTCAAAATATTACTTCTTCTTGGTTGATATATATCATTTAAACCCATAAGGAACTGCATAAGTTTTATCAAATGACTGTGTTGTAAAAAATCGTGAGATGCCTTGCATGTGCAAGAAGGAAGTTTGACTAGCACATCAAATTGTTTCCAAAAAGAATTGAGCTTATGATAGTACTCGGAAACAATCATGTTATTTTGGCTTTGAGAATTTATTCATTGATAGAGATTAAAAGTCACCGACCCGTCCACTTTGTCATATGTTTCTTTTAATTCCTTCCAGACTTGAGAGGCGATTTTAGAAAAGACCTTCCCTAAAAACAGATCCTCAGTCATAGAGCTGAGGATCCATGAAAGAACCACAAAATTACATCGGTCCCACTGTCGTTCTAGGACAGGGTCATCTATAGGTCGAGGACAGGTACCATCAATGAAGCCAACCTTATTTTTTGTTTCTAACACTAGAGTCATTGCACAAGACCAAACCTTATAGTTTTCAGTTCCGCTTTGCTTAAAAGATAAAATGGAAGCTCCACTAGTGTCACTCGGATGCAAGTATAAAGGATCTCCAAACTCAAGATCTGGTTTTGAAAAAAAATTAGGATCTGTTTAATCCTTTTCTTCTTTGAAGGATTTGTTGTATTGTTTGATCATGTCTTCTATTTCCCTTTGGGATATGACTGAATGTGTTTTGAACCATAAAAGATCGACTGGATCTTTCTCGTGGTCCCCTTTTAAGATCTCTTATTGTTCTTCGCTGCGTGTATATGTTTATCATTGCAGATCTATTCACCTTGTTGTTGTAAAAATGTTTGTTAATCTGTAAAAGATTGGATGGATAAACAACATTTTCAACACGTACCTCAAGAAAAAACCAGTTTTGTATTTATTTTCAACATTGTATTTAATTTACTTTCACTTAGTGAACACTCTGCTTCTACTCCTTTCTACCATTGAATTTATCGTGAAGGATAGATTCAAACCAGTGTAGGATTATTGGTTTGGTTGAAATTTCGATCTTAAGTATTCTATCTCGTTTTATAAAATTTCTATAGATCTTGATTTTGTTACGTGTTAATAAAGTCAAAAATTTATTTATAAAGGTTTAATATTATTATTTTTTCTAATCCGTTTAATTAAATTTGTCAAGAGAGGGTGGATACCGCCCTTTCAAAAAAAACACTTGCCAAGCATCTGACTCTAATTTCATTTTTTTAGCCTTTTCTTTATAATTATTTTTATTGCACACTAGAATTACATTTAAAATAAAAAACTAAATTAATTAATCCTTCTCATCCAAGATGCTGCCGACAATCTTCCTCTAGGCCACATTGCCACCGTACAATCTTCCTCTATGGTGGGTGGTTGGGGGATTTATAATATTAAACCTTTTCCTTAAATGAATCAAATACTTGTAGAAACGCATTGTTAGCTTAGCTTAGGTTGTACAATAACAAATAGTAAATAAGTAATGCAAAATGATGAAAATACCCTCCAGTGCTCTCTCCATATGGAGTCACATAAAGGGGTTGAGTTAATGACCGTTATAACAAAGGCTATAACCAAAACAAAAATAAAAGAGAAAAGAGAAATTTGTAGTAAATAAACTTAGGGACTAAACCAACATAATCGATAAACTAAGGTACAATTTATGTATTTTTGGCATAAAATTCTACAATCAATAGTAAATATAGTTTAAATGTAAATATGTAATACATCTATATTATCTATAGTATATTATAAAACATTTGATAAAAATTCTTAAAAACCACTTTTTATGCGTAAAGTACCGTTCATTAATGCATATTACTTAAAACTCAAGATTGCAAATAAATTGTGCGTAAGTACAACTTATTAAAGCTCCATATCTGAATTCGTGTAACTAATTGCAGATAAACATAATCAAATACATGATAAACATCTCACTTTAAATATAAAAAAT